AATACGGCTTCTTTACCTTAAGGTAGTAGATATATCGTTTTGCTATTCCTTACTAGATAGATCTATTTAAAGCCTAGGTTTTATAAGGCTGCTTAAGGACTAGATCGTCGTTATCTTAATAAAGTTAGCTTATTTTCTAATCTATCCGTAGGTTATTCTTTTCTAGCTATAGTATTCCTAATATAATTATATATACCGAGTTTAGCAATATCGAATTAAAGTTATTTATTTCGATCTAGGTAACTTATCTCGAAAGGCATAGTCTTGTTTTTAATAATTCCTCCTTTATACTAGACTTATTCTCCTTCTATATTGCTAAGCTAGTATATATATTCCTTCTTCTACTATAATAGTTATAGTCGGTTTACTACTTAGGGTAATATAAAATTTATTTCGGCTTTACTATCGATAAGTATAATAGTATTATATCGTTAATAATAACTATAAGTTATAAATATACTTTCTAGTCTAGGAATGCTAGATAGATAAACCTTATCGTTATTACCTATCTTAGTCTTTTATTAGTAAGTAAGTCTAGTTTTTTAACTATTCTAGTTATCTTAGGTAGGTAATATACTTCCTTTCTTGTTATGCCTTCGTAAGGCGGTTTTCCTAGAATTAAAGCCTTAGGAGGCTTAATCCTTCTTATAAAAGTCTATAAGCTTTTACCTTTTAGGTTATATAGATAAGGCATTCGTCTATTCGATATTCTTCTTACTTTATATTTTTATTATAAGTATACCTTATAAAGTATTATCGGCTAGGGGTAAATATAGCGATATTGCCGTCGAACTTCCTAAGTTCCTACCTTATAAAAGTATAGGTAGTATAGACGTTTCGTAGGGGGGTATTATTATATTTCTTAAGTTAGAAGTAGTATTCGTATTTTTCTCTTATAACGTCTTATAATAGTCGAAAAAGTACTAGGCTTAAAAAGGTAACGATAGCTTAGGTTTATAATCCTAAGGTAGGGGTAATCTTCGATCCTAAGTTATAAGGTATAGTATGTCTTAGGTCTTATATTTAGTATGTTATAAAGTTTAATAAATTACTTATTATTATACTAATTTACTTACTTTATATAATACGTTTAAGGGTATTATCTTTCTTAAGTTCCTTTTTAAAGCTAGTATCGTCTATACTAAAGGTAAGCTAATAAGCGATCTCTGTAAGTATGTTAGTAGGCAACGTTATAAGGTTCGTCTAAGTTGTAAAGTAAATCTTTTCCTTCTCCAAACGTTTAGTTACTAGTAAGACTAAGGATTTTTATTTAGTTAGGGGGTTATATTAATATTTAGGTTCCTTATCTAAATCTTCTTTATTTTCGAATTCCTTAATTCGATTTATTTCGTATTAAACTTATGCTTCGGAGTCTCTAATCCTTTATTAGGTTTCTTTATTATAACCTATAGGATTATCGTAGGTAGCTTGCTTTAAGGTAATATATAAGGCTAACAAGCCTGCGGGTTTAAGTTATTATACTTATAGCTTCTCGTTAAGTTATTTAGTAGTTTTTCTAATCATCTTACTATTAGCCTAGGAGGCTATTATAAGGGTTTTGCTAGTAAGTTAGTATCTTATTATTTCTTTATCGCTAAGGTATATAAGGTATTTATTATTATAGTATCCTATCTACGATAGGGATACGTAAGGTATCTTAGTTACTATACTAGCTTGCTTAGTTTGCTTAGGTATTAGCTTTTAGTTAGGCTTCTTAGATTATCTATAGTTTCTAGCAATATATCTTATTTTTTCGTAATTATAATACTTAAGGTTCTAAGGTTTCTTATCGTTACTTTTAGTAGTAGTACTAAGGTTTATAAGTTTACTATATTATCTATAGGAAGTATTTTATTAGGTATTTCTAGTTATTATAAGGTTTATTATCGTTTTGCTAGTTATTAAACTTATGCTAAGGCTGCTATTAGTACTTACGTCTTAAGTTTAGGTTTTATCTTTTTTCTCCTCGTTCCTTTCGTCGTTTATAAAAGTAGTTATCGATCTTAATAGTATATTTGACGTAAATAAGGAAACTAGGGTGTTACGGTCAGCTATCCGACAGTAGGGTCTGCTAACAGAAGTTGGGGATTGACGCTAGTAAACAGTATTGTCGTGTCGTAAGTCTGGTTCGTAGGTCGTAGGCTGTGTCGTAGATCGGTAGTCAGAGGCTAAGGTGATCAATCTTAGGCTCAACAAGTATTCGCAGTGAAGGTAAGCTGAAAGTATCCTGAGGATGAATACAAAGTTGATTGCTGAAGAGCTATGGAAGTCTGACTATGAGTCGAGCTCAGGTCATACTATATACAAGTCCGAACAGTACCCTTTGTTTGTTTTACCGTTCCTGATCCTGACGGGGTCCGTTCCTCGTTCATACGGATCCCGTATGTGCCAAGGACGGACTCCGTATTCTTGGCGTACGGATCTAATCTCTTATCTTATCGTCACGTGACTTGCACCATAGTTCTTCCGTTTCCGAGTGAGTCCCTGTTGTTCCCGTGATCCTGCAGTACAAATGTCCTGTTCTAGCCGCCCGACGCCCAAGTGGGTCGTTCAGCTGTTATCCTTGTTTACGGGTCGTAACACTATACTATAATATACAAACCTAATTCAGATAGAACTAAACTAGTATTGAGCTTAAATAAGTATAATTAAGTAAGAATAAGTTTGCCTAAGCAAGAATAAGTTTGCCTAAGCAAGAATAAGTTTGCCTAAGCAAGAATAAGTTTGCCTAAGCAAGAATAAGTTTGCCTAAGTAAGAATAAGTTTGCCTAATGCAGCGGGGTAGGGAAAAGGTTTGAGGGACATGGTGGATTTGTATGAAACTTTGTATGGGCACTAATAGAGGGCTGGTTAGGCTTAGGCAGTAGTAGGAAGGGAGGAGGGGCATCGAAGAACAACATAATCACTTACACACTCGTTTTTCAGATAGGTAATAATTATGCTCTTTTAGTTCGAACTTTTAAGATATCCTCATGATGCGAAAAATTCATCCGACTCTAGAGCTACTTTGTGATATTCCATCTATGAAGAACGATTATTCGGCGCTTGGTCAGGCTTATATTGAGATATGAGCTTCTGAGAGTCCTGCGTAAAGGTTCAATTGATTCATCATGTGTGGAACCTTGATCCAGTGGCCCCAGGCTAAAGGACTTCTCCCCAGCAATCCCACAATCTCGAACGATTCTTAGAACTTCTAATAACGATACGAGGACTCTATCCCTTTCGATTGCGATTGATTAAACGAAGTCTAGTCAGGCTTGCGTCGAAATATTGAGGCAAAAGGAGAAGGTTTATAGCCTTAAATGGTGCTTGACGATAGCGGGCGGAGCGTATTATTGAGGCGCTGTGGCCTACTGTATCCGAGTTCGGTTTAGTGATATAAGTCCTGTTCGCACCGTTGCACTAAGCAAGAATAAGAAGGTTCTACTAAGTCTAGCTAAGGCCGATCCAGTTAATAGGTTACATGAAACACTATAGCTATCTAAAACAAGGTAATTGTCGAATGGACTCTCTGTACGATCGTACTGTCATAAATGTAGGGTGAACCAAAGATTGTATTTTCCGTGATTACCTTTCCTAACTAGATGTTGCCTTCCGTACGAACAGATATATCTCTGTCCATACCTAGACATGAATCGTGCCGGTTGGGTAATGAACCATGATCCCTTCCTCAGACATACAAGTGTTACAGCCCTTAGTCATGCTGCTCGTACACTCATTTGCCTGTGACAGCCTTGTCGTACGGTCATGTGACTATCGTTATTCCAACAGTAATACTAGTTTAGTTACTAACAATAATCAAGATCATACTTTATTCACGTTATACTTATAAAAAATTATTTGGCTTACAGATTTATGACGCTATATCTTATGAGCTTAGGTAGGCTACGAAGCCTAACTTTTGACATCAAGATTTAATGCATATTGCTTATAGGGGCTCCTCATCATTCAACAAGACTTTATGATACTTTTACAGGCGACTTTCAACAAAGAATGAGATATTCGGAAGCTTGGTAAAGGGTCAGAAATACTAGGGGCGGGCTCTGATCTATTTACGTTTGGCTACCATTTGGAAATGTGCAGAATTAGGCCTGCGTCAAAAACCTTGACATCTTCAAAGAATGATTTTTCTATCGAAATTAACGGGTAAGAACGAGAATTGAACCCTTGAATGTTTTGAAAACGCACGACTGTAGATTCTTCCTCCTCGTAATGTGGTTCCGGACACTAACGACACAATTATTCAACTAATTTCTAGATTAATGAAGTTATTTTTACCAGCCGGGAACGGCTCTCTCTCATGGCGACCACTTTTCATGGGTTTCGTAAAACCCATCGAATCCATTCGATGAAGGAGAATGAGGTAGAACATATGCACTAGGTGCGGCTCGTACACTACTGTGATTAAAGATGCCATCGCCTAAAACTCAAATTCCAACGACTCAACATCTTTCTTCCTAAACATGTTACAGTTCAACTGTCTGGTTTCACAGCTCGTCGCTATTGTCCCAAGGTGTTTGATTGATATCGGCTTCAACACCGAAACCCCGATGCCATCGGTGAGAATGCCGATGGGCTGGAAGAACCTCGGATGTTAAGCTTTAAGATGCCAGTACCGGCCATTCGAAGACTGTAATAGCCAAAAGAAAATCAATAGCATTTAAAACTGCTTTGTTTAGAAAAATGTGGTGTTGGAGGGATGCGACGTGGGTAAGAGATGATGAAATAGTCTCCGTTATTCGTCGTGATGACGGATATTGTACCAAGGCGAAGGGTCGAATTGAAGTAAGGTACGTACCGCTGGTGCCCCACTCCAAACGGTCGGCCTGAAAGCCGTAACGTGGGTCCACCAGACGCGGGGCAGCTCGCACCACGACTTGCTCATCAACGACCAACGCCTACTGATAAGGTGTCCCATATCCGCTGCTTCACCACTTCGAGTGTCTTTACAACTTGCCTAAATCTCATATTTCTTCTTCTTTCAATCAAAAGTCTTGATAATGTCGGCCTGGTCGGAGCAAAAATCACAAAACCGCACGTTGCAGATACTCGACACTGCAACCAAGGGCAAATATGGTGTTCTCGGCGTGGTCATGTAAGCCCCGACCCTTGCCAATACCTCGCGAATGAGCTTCTCACTTCTTAATAGTTACAACATCGAGCATCTCACTGCGGTTGTAAAGGCAGCAGAAGCAAAGAGATCACCGGTTCTTATCCTCCTGTTCCCGTCTGCAGTCACACAGCTACCTACTCTTGCGTGGGCAGTAGC